TTTTTTTCCAATCAAAAGAATATAAGTTTGACTTGATTTGATGTAGAACACATAACTTTTAGCCATAGTGTAACACATTATCTTCATTCAATTTCCAATTATTTTAACAACTTTAATAGATTGATATTAGGGTCATTAAAAATGAATATAAGGATAATGTTTACTTTTTCAGTAATTTGACTTGTAGAGTTTCAAATTTTACCATAAGCTGCAGTTATTTTTTTTTCTTATTTTTTTTTTGGCAAAAAAACATTGCATGCGGCCAGGCGATGTCATCAAACTCCCCTTGTTCCTAACACTCTCACTCATACTCTTCCTCGATGCAATCCTCCCCCTTCAAATCTTTGAATTCCGGTACCGTATGATGATCTATACACTCCTCCAGATGGACCTTCGATTCGGCATCATTTCCTCAATGCCACCACTGGGACCGCTGATGTGGGCTGCATTGGGGAATTTGTGAAGCACGAGAGTCTTTGTGACGATCTTTTCTTCTTAATCTGTAAAGGGCAAGAGAGGTTCCAAGGCACGAAGCTGGTTCGACCAAGCCGTATTTGGTGGCGGAGGTGGTGTGGTTGGAAGAACGGTCGTCAGCTAATGGGGGTGAGGATTTGAACACGTTGGCGTATGAGGTGAGACGTACATAAAATACGTGACTCGTCTATCCAATAAGCAGGATGGGATGTCAGAGAAGGAAGTGCAGGACTTGAGAAGGAATTTATTTCCGACGCCCTTTTCATTTTTCGTCAGGAGTACGTTTGAAGGGGCACCCAGGGAATAGCAAGCGTTGCAGTAATTGAAGGATGTAACGATGAGATAAAAAAACGGAGAAGGAGACTTTTAGGAATACTTTGAATTATTTAACTACAGCTTCTACAGTGAATAATGTTTTTTCCATCAACTTAATGATGTGTAAAGCTCTGGAATTGATGACGTAGTATTATGGACTTGTAATTGTTGAATAGAAGATGAAAACATTGCATGAGGTTATAATACATCATAAAATTTATTGCTATGATATTCATTTCAGTGCGAGGTGGTTTTTTAATTTATTTAATAGTAGAGCGTTTACTTAAAAAAAATTAATGGAAACAACTTCATTTTGGTTGGAAATTTTTTTTACCACAATGCAGAAAGTTACTTTAATAATATACTATATACATGGCCTAGGAAAATGCTGGGGTGGCTCCATGTGTTTTCGTTTTATATTAATGGAAAAATAAAAAAAATGTAATAATGTGTAATTTTTTGTACATAAATATTATTTTTGTTATAATGTGTAATTATATATATACGATAAGTATATCAATCTTATTTTTTGTTATTTTTTTATTTTTATTCCAAATTAAAATTTGTTTTAGATATTATCTAAATTTCTATTACTTTATCATATGAACACGAGATAAAGTAAAAATCGATGAAGAATTGTTATGGCCTTCTGTTTGGGACGATGGATATGCATCCCTGAAAAAGGATTTTCAGTATGGATCCATTCTTATTATTTACAATAGTTTGAGATCCATGGAGGTTTGCTCCTTATCGTGTTCTCTTAAGTTAAAACAATCATATGGATTAAAATTTAAAAACAATAATGATAATTAAATCTTCGCCACTCCTGGCGCGGATCTCCACGCCAGCTCTACCTGCCCCGGCGCGGTTCTCCTTCGCCGGCCGGGGCTAGGGTGGCGCCCCTTTCTTCGCCACCGAAAGGGGGAGGGGGGAGGGGGGCGAGAAAGGTCTCGCCAGGCGGCCAGCGCCTGGCAAGATTAACCGGTGCCGGTCATGTGCCGGCGCAGGTTTTTTTTTAATTATTTATTTATTTTTTTTGTTTTAGTATATTAATTTTTTATTTTATTTATTTAAATTTAATTGTTATTTATGAATTATAGAATAAATATTAGTAATTTTAATTTAATTGTTAGTATTAGTAATTGTAAATCTTATGAAATTTAGTTTAATTATTTATTATTAGTTAAATTTATGATTTTATTGTTTAGTCTTAGGAATTTATTTTTATTAGTTTAATTTATTTAGGAAACATTATTATTAAAAGTATATGTTTAATCTTAAGTAAATAATTTAGTTATAATATTCATATTTAGAATTCATTTGTAGTTTTAGGGAGCTTCAAATTTTTTAAATTAATTTGGAAAATTATAAAAGTTATTATGATGAATTTAATTATAGAAAATATATTTGTAAGATTAGTCGGTTTAATCGTAATTAGCCTCAAAAAAATATTATAGATAGAAATTAAATACTTAGTATAGGAAAATTAAATAAATAAGTACAAAGTAAATAAAAAAAAAGGTTAGTAGATAATTAGAGTTAATAAAATATTTATTTAATTGGGGTTAAAATTAAATATTTAATAAATATTTATTTAATTCTGGTTAAAAATAAATAATAAAATATGTAGATATTATTATTTGTACTTAGTAGATTTAATAAATTAAACATTTAAGATGTATAGTAGATAATTTTATAATTACGTATTTAAATAATATAAAACTGTATTAAAGTAATTAACCTTAATTAATAATTTATTATTTAGGTTTTATTAAGTATGTATTAAAACTAATTTTTTTTGGGACGCCTTAGTCCCAACTTTAGAGTACTCCTGAATAAGCTCTTTTACTTCTGCACTCAGTGGCCTCCTGACTCGAGGCGAATCTTTCAATGAATGGTTGTGCATTTCCCACGGACCGGCATATACACGGATCGCCCACCTATCATATATTTTGGAAATTGTACCTTGAATCATGCATCCGGTCATCCGTGTCTTTGTATTGAGTCGGACGCGCATGTTTTCATCTGCATATTGACCTTGGTACCGGGCTCCTTTATGACAAAGGAGTATAGTACTATTATCCTTGTGCTAGGATACACTTAACTCCATATTGTAGATATTTGCAATACCCTTCGCATATGCAACAGCTTCACACTTCGTGGCAAAAGTCTCGTCTGTAGCAAAAGCCGAACTATAATCATGTCCATCCCCCTGATCAAACCTATCATACACACATTAAAAATGAATTATATCATAACTTAAATTAACTTTAATAATATTAAACTACAAATAATTCATTATAAGCAAACAAAATAATTATCCGACATAATGATCTTATACTTTAAAGATAATTAATATATACTAATAACAAACTAAATACGTTATTAACAAAAACTCATTATTTTTACAAAACCCCTAAACCCTAACACCTAAACCCTAAACCCATTAACATACTACCTAAACACCCATTTAACAAGAAACAAACTATTTCATACGAACATACTACGTAATTAACATAATTTAAATATATAACAATCTAAATACATAATTAACAAAAATTAACTCATTTAATATAACAACTACAATCTATAAACAAAATACCTAATTAAAAAATATTCTCTAAATATTTAAGTTTAATATTTTTTATAAACCAATATCATAAACCCTAATTATCATAAATCCTAATTTTCTAAACAAATATTAAACTACCAAATAAATACTCAAATAAAATAAATAAATTAATAAAATAAATACATGAATTAAATAAATTTATTAAACTAATAATTTAAATAAATAAATGATGTTAATTAAATATATTAAAAAATAAAAAAATTGATTAAATTTAAAAAAAATGGGTGCCCCTGCCACCCATCGGTTGGTTGCCGAGCGTTTGCTCACCAACCAGGACAAAGGTGGCGCCAGGCGAAGGTTGTCTCGCCTCCCTTTACAGGGAGGCGAGTTTATTCCACATCACCCCTCATAGGGGTGACGTGTTTCTCCTGCGCCAGTCATCCCCCCTCCCCCCTCTCCTCCTTTTTTTGAAAAAAAAAAACATACCTCCATGTGCAGGAGCGTATCCGTCTTTCGGAAGGCACTCAAATGAAAAAATAAGGGCGCTTAACAGTTTCACCCTTCATTTATTTACAATCTTTTATAAGCTAGAGCCTAAATAGGTTAGCCACTTTCTCTCATTTGCCACGAGTTTATATTGCTGGTGTTGTGGCTCAGGAGATATCATCAAAAACTTAAAAATGAATCTAATTATGTTTCTAAACCATTAAAAGTTGAGAAACTTTTTAAATGAGAAATACAACATCAAATAATAATATTTTTTCCTAAATGCATAATCTATTTGACTTCACAATATTTTAGATATCTAATGATATTAAGAATATAGTGTAATCATATAAAATGTGATATCTGAATTTTAATGCTTCGTTTATTCGTCTCTCAATCCAAAAAAAAAAAAGAAAAAGAAATAAAAAAAAAACACAATAAAGTGTTTGCTACTTTAAAATCTCAGATGGTATTATATTCTTGAAGATAAATGAGACTCGCTGATAACTTGATCGGTTAAGAACAAATTTTTGATGAATAAAAAAATGATAAAATTATCATAATTTATCATAATTTAATGAATGTTGAAATTGAATAAATTAAAAATTTTTGTCGAGTATTTCATTATAAGAGAATTTTTATTTAGTATTGGACTTCATTAAACAATTCAAGAATCATGTTGTTATTTTGCACTTGAAATCCACATAAATTTTAGATTTTACAATCATTAAAGAAAAATCCCTTTACTTCATATAGTTTTTGCTTTCAACCAATAATAATAATAATAAATAATAATAATAATAATAATAATAATTTTATACATATTATGTAAATCTTTATGGATTTATATTTTAAAAAGTTATAACGGTAAATAAGTTCTGACAATGAATCAAAGATCTCTGCATGTTTTTAAAGTAAGGAATTTTGAAAAAGTATATATTGTAGATTATTTTTTCCTCATTTCTGTAGATTAGTTTTTACCTCATATTTATAATTTTTTGTTTACCTTCACTCTTCAATAGTTATGATCATGTAAGAACATAAATGAAAAAGATGTATATTAAATCATACTATTATACGAAAAGGCTCTATCTAAATATTGTAAATAGGGCCCCGCGTGGAGAGGCTTTGAAACACCTAGTATTGAGTTAAACTACATTCATATCCAAGAGGAAGTATTTTCTGGACAAGTAATCAAACACCTTTGAGACATAGAGCCCTTTTTCTAGTCTGTTTTGCAAACCGACCCCAAGGTAGGATATGTTCTTTTTTTTTTTTTTTAATGTTAAAAAAAACCGAAGGAAGGAGACAATTTCTTTAAATAAATTATTTTCTTGAACATTGCGACTCCCAGACCGCCTAACTCCTCCTGTTCTTCTATTCATCACCCCACTCCCCCATCGAGTGAAAGGAAGCTGGGGGGACTTTGTCGATTGGGCTACGAAAGGCACCGGGGGAAGAGAAGAGAAGAGCTCGAGTTAAATCAATAAGGGATTAAGGTAATGTGAGACACTTAATGGTCAATATTCTAGCTCAATGCCATTGAATTTGTCCTCTTTAATATTAGTTATAGAATTGGGGGAAATACTTGGGAGTTTGAAATTGAAAGTTTAAGTCGGGTGATATAGTTAGGTTAGGCTCGATCCTCTTTGTAATCTAATGTCTATTGCTGCTGTATTTGGTTCGGTTATGCGGTAATGATCTCGTATAGATTGATTGACCTGGAAAAGACACGTCTATGGATGAAACAAAGGTAAAGAAAGAACAAGGGGAAAGAGGGATAATAGCCGATTGTTTTTATTCTGTTATTTTTTATTAACAATGATACTGTCTTGCATGTTGAAAGTGTTGATTTCTAATTGTCTTGTTGCTATTAAATACACTAGACTAGTTCTTAGCATGAGGGGAAAAGAAAATTTGAACGAGGGTGATGATGTTTCCGTGTTGCTGTTATGATTGAATGGGGAAAATGGGAAATGGTAAAGCCTAGTATGCAATGAAATTAATTCTTGGGTTGGCTACAACTTCTAGTTTTTTTTTATGGAACATGGAAAATGAATCATGGATGATTTGGATGTCATGGTTTGGTTTAGAAATGATTGCATGAGATTGGATTGCATAATGTGTTCTGAAAATGCAAAAAACAGATTCGAGCCCCCTGTTGAATGACTTGTTTCTCCCATTTCCCGAATCATTTTCTTACGGATTTCTTTATATGATTCTTTTTTATGCTCAATCTAGTTTAATGTGGTTTTTACGGATGGTGAAACGGACTCCTGGTTTGTCAAGAAATGTTATTTAAACATGACATGTTCATTGCTGAAAATGCAGAAAAATTAGACCAGATTCCTTTTTTTTTTTTCTAAGAAAAGGTACATGTATATTAGTTAAAAAGAAGTACCTAAACTATTACAATTCATTCTATTGAATGCTAAATTATGTAATTCTACTACATCTTGTCTACTCTAATCAGAGAGCAAGACTGAAAAACTGAAATAGTAGTAATTAACAAAGACACCACCTCCTTCTATTAACAGGCCTAGTTCTCTTGGGTCTTGAACTCTTTTCCAGAATTTCTTTTCAGAAAAATCTTTCTCATTTAGTGTAGTTTAATGTAGTTTTTATGAATTATTAAACGGACTTACAGTTTGTCCAGAAATCGAGTTTGAACATGACTTGTCAGTCGCTGAAAATCTTTAACTTTCCGTCAGAAAATCTGATCTGAGCCACTGTTTTCAGGGACTTATTTCTTATGATTTTTATACTTCCTTCTATGATTACCTGTGGTAAAACTCTTCTCTGGTTATCCTAGTTTACTATCGTTCTGTCGGCTTGTTAAAAGGATTAGTGATTTGCTCAAAAATGTTCTTTGAATATGTTCACTCAGTCACCATTGTTCTGAAAATTCAGAATTGAGAATTTGAAAGGCTAACTTTGAAGTGTCCATTCTCCTTGACTCTAAATCCTTTCCTAATGAGAGTTCATTACTTCCCTTCTCTATTGTTTGGCATCTTCTCCTCCATCATGTAGGTACCAATAGAAAAGAGGAAATTGGAGGGACTAGCAAGATTAACGTATGAAATTCTAGGTACCAATTTTGAATAATTAGCAAGCAAGAGGGACTCAAACGACGCCGTTTTTCTTGTGAACTCCCTTCACTTGGACAAACGAATCTTCTTCCCTCATTCCGAGTTCAGACACAATCATTCCACTGGAACAAAGCTGCCCTGCTCCCCCAGAATTTTCTGCAAGTGATAAAGGGTTTTCTATCATCTCCCACTTTTTGCAATTTTCACTTGGTTTCTTTGCTGTTTTTGTTGTGCATTTTATTTCAACTTTGTTTTAGAAAAGAAAAGAGAATCGATCCTTGCTTAATCTTAGGTTGTTTGTGATCTGGTCTTTGAATGGTCTCCACTATCCACATTAGATTAGGTTAAGCTTATGTTTAGCGGCTTCAGAGACTATAGCTTCTATGTAAGAAAATAACTCGTATAAAAAGTTGGAACTTTAGGAATGATTTCTGATTTGCTTCTTGTTTTAGCTTAACATTTGGGCTTCCAATTCAGGCTCCTTGTTAACCAGTGATAATTTTGTTTTGGTGCTAAAAATACATGCGGTTAATGTTGCTATATGAAGGTTTTTGAATCAGATTCTAGTAGTTTTGCTGGTTGATCATGGCAATTATGGGGGCAAATCCAAAACAACAAGATCTTTTGTCATTCCTATAAATTGCTCCTTGCTGATATTCATGTTCAATCTGGGTGGCTTTTACGTTGTTGGTTGCACATTCTGAGTTTCTATTTTCCCAGTCTGTCATTGTTTATTAGATGGGTAGTTAAGACTCATGGTTATGTTGTTATGTGTATGAATTGTTTGATAAAAGGCCTTATAAAAGCATTATGCCTTGTTGTGTTTCTTTTGGTTCGTTCAAAATAATAATAGGCTGATTGCTATATGTGTCCCACAATCTTCAAAGATGACTCTCATGGTTCTTTTTCAGTCAGTTGTTCTACAACACAGCGGATATAATGTGGTTCCGTTATTTGAAATTTTGAGCAAACTACTGTTTTCTGAACATGCACATATGCAATGATCAAAGCATGGATCTTTTATGTAATGCTGCCACTGAAATCAACCAGCTTTGTTGCTGCTCAGTCAAATTTGTGTGTTACATCAATTTTCCCTTTCTTTATATGCATTTACAGCTATGTTGATTGCCTGAAATGACAGTAAATTTTTTAATTTTTCTGGCAGTAACTCTGTAGATTTGATATGGCGATGAGAAATCTGAAAATAAAGACATCAACATGCAAACGTATAGTGAAGGAGCTCCATTCCTATGAGAAAGAGGTGGAGAGGGAAGCTGCCAAGGTTGCTGAAATGAAGGATAAAGGCGCTGACCCCTATGATCTCAAACAACAGGTCTGGCATACATTTTATCTGTCCACTTGCTTAAGAATGACTCCTTGCATTTTTGTTTCGAATAAAAATTTTATTTTGGTCAGTTGGGAGGATAGATCTTAGTTTAGAAGATGGGACTATGAAACATTCGCTATTTGAGCCCTTCTGTTGTGGATCTTGCATTAACATTTTAGTTGTGGATCCTACAGGAAAATGTGCTTGCTGAGTCTAGGATGATGGTTCCTGATTGTCACCGACGGCTTGAAGCGGCACTGGCTGACCTAAAATCAGTTCTGGTAATATCATAGTATTTTGCAATGTTCCATATTCTGACTTTGCAAATCTTCTGACACAGTAGGCCTCTATGTCCCCCAAACATTTTCAAAATTCTGAATCTTTAGGGAAGTATCCTCATTGGTTGTGGATTACTTGACAAATCTATTCTTGTTTCAGGGCGAGGTGGAAGATCCAGACCAAGCGGAAGGTGCTGAAGTTGACGAAGCACGGAAAGTAATTGCCGAGGTCGAGCAGTTATTCCAACCAGACGACTAAAAAAACATTTCTTTTGCAACTTTAGCAAACCGGACAGGTTCTGTACTATTTAGCTTTCAATCATTGCAGTTTCCTGATTATTGCAAGAATTGTGGATTTTTATGCAAATTTATGTAAGATTTGGTTTCCATTAGTACGTGCAAAAACCATCAGTTTCTTTCAGCTATTATTTTATTGAGGTTGAATATTATTACTCCCAAGATGATATTCTTCCAACCTTACAACCCGCAGTAAACCCTCTGGATCAATCCTGCAATGAAACCTCTTTCTGAAAGGAAAAACAACTCCAAATCACCATTCTTCACGAGACATAGAGAAAACAAACTACGCAGTTGATAAAATCTTCTACATTACATGACCAGAAGGAATGGTTTTGCCAGAATCAAAAACCACGCTTCATTCAGCACTTCACTCTTGAAATGAATGGCTCTTCTGGATGATGATGATGATGATGAATTTTCATTATATTTGTTGCTGACAAATCTGTCATGGCCATTGCCGCCATTACTAGGATCGGCACTACTCCAAAATATCCTTCTTTCTTACATTCATAGTTGAGACCTTTTTCTTTCCAAATGAATGCGGTTTTATCAATTGAGTGAAAAGAGAGTATCACTCAACCCAATTGATTTGAGTCATCCATTTTTTGGATAATAAATCTGAATTCATTGCTAGCTGAATCTAATGGAACCTATTGAAAGAGAAGAATGGCAACAGTTTAGCAGCCATTAATCATTCACTAACATTTGGTTAGAACTTAGAATAATTAGTGTATCAACCATTTAACTAGTGTTTTCATAAGATTATTTGGATGAATCTATTAAATTCTTTGTTAAAAAAGATGATAGATTTGATTATGAGTAGATAATAGTGAGTGATATTTGAAAGGATTTGGGGGTGTGTGTTGGGGGTGTGGTGGACGGGGAGAATGTTATGCTGTGTGGACATGCATTTCGATAGACAAATTGGAGCCTATACCAATGAAATAGTAATAAAATGGCTGTCTCCTCTTTCGACACAAATGGTTCTCATCAGTTCATCAAGAAGACGTTATTTTGGGATTTTGGGAAAATGTAAGCAGTATTTCTTGATGATGATGATAAGATTATTCCGTACTTAGAAAAAAGTTAGAATCGTTTACTTAGAATTCAACATTGTTGACTTGAAGGTTTACTTTGAAACATCAATCAATTAAGGTTCATTGCTTTTGCTTACATATTCAGATCCAAATCAAACACAAAGGAAAAAGAGCTCCAAACATGTTGGACTTTTTGAATAGGTTCATTTTCGCCGACCACTTTTATCCTAAATATAATTTTGTTAATCCTTCCACATGATTCATCAGGTTATTAGTTAAAGTTATTAATTGTTTAATATATAAATTTAAATGATCAACAAGGCGTTCTGGTCAACATGTTGTAGCCGAAGCTACATAAGTTAATACTATTTCTTGATGATTATGATAAGTTAATACTAATTAACTAGATCAGATTATTATCATCAATTCCATAAATAGCGTACCGTACTTATGTGATTCTTCTCTTCTTTGTCAAAGAGGGGACAAAAATTTGTGTGGGCTTCTACAATCCACACTAATCACGAACTACTCCTCATTCTTTAATCACTCACACTACTATCTAAATCATTAAACAATTGCTACATAAGATCCTCCAAATCTTCAACCAAAGAAAAAGAAAAAAATCCAATTCAAACCATCCCTAGTTTACTTTATGACCACTAAACGGAGGGAAATCATTATTCGTTCCAAAAGAAATCTCAAATTTATTATCCTCCCTCCGTCCCAAAAAAATAGTCCACATTGAGTTTTGAATTTTGTACTGTTTTTAGTACAAATTTATAAACTCAATGTGTACTATTTTTTGGGAGGGAGGTAGTATTATTTTTAGTACAAAGAATGTAAGTTTATTTCAGGGACGAGAAGAAACATATATATAATGATGAAAAAGGGTTGAGCATACAAATTTCGTAGAAACATTATTAATCATGGTTAATTGACAAGCAATTTTCTTCATTCCCCCTCCCACCTTTCATGTTAGATTTAGATCTAGAAGGAGGAGGAAAAGAAAAGGACTTTTCAAAAGGGCTGGCTGGCTGATAAAATAATGGATTGTGTTTCGATTACAACGTGTACCGGATGTCACCCAACAAGATCTCAATCATATTCATGACATTTAAAAATATTGAGAATTGGTGCACGTTTGGTTTATGCATTTCACCGCTTATATCTTGTAGGATTACATGCATTCATCATCATTAAAAAAAGAGAGAGAGAGAGAGAGAGAGAGCGCCCGCAGTTGAGTGAGAGATTAGTGACCGTAGCGTCCAATTAATCTGGAATACTAGTTTCTCCCCCAAATGTACTAATATCCAATGTATTATGTGTGTATAAGTCCTCCTTTTTGGACCGTTTTAGAATAAGTACTGAATGACAAATGAAAATCCCAACGTTGTTTACTTTCCGACCAATTATTATTTAATTAATTATTTAATTAATTAATTTAGGCCAGGTTCTTTCCCCCTCTCTCTCCCTCTTCATCTGCATCTTGACATTTATATATATAGTAGGTAACCAAGGTTTTGCCCAGATCTCTGAATTGAGACATACATTTAAAGGAACATTAATTTGAACTCACACCAACTGATAAATCATCCCAGATTCATCAACAACCCATTTTGCCTAGAGATCTCTGTCCGGATTGAGGTATTACGTGCTACTCAATTAATTAGCCTCTTAACTTAGCTTTAACTTGCACATATCTTTGAGTGCTTATGATTTGAAAGAATTATGGATCATCAATTTTTCTTTTTTTTTTTTTTGGATTATATATATCTTAACTGTACCTACATTGCATATAGCTTGGTAGTTCGTTTTTATTTTTAATCATTTAGATCAAGTTCAAAATCCGTTATTAATTAGTAGCTAGTTAACCTGATTTTGACTTGGACAAGAAAATATGAAAGAAGACAAGTGTAACACTAACTAATTGAGCTATTTGTATTCTGAAAATCGATCACCCACCATTAGATTCAAGTTTTAAATTTCTTAGAATTAGATCTACATGTTTGTATATATAGGTCAAGATCAATGTTGTTTCAATTATGTTGTGAAAACCCTAGCTCTTTTTTGGCCCTTTTCCTTGATCTGATGGTTTCTTTCTTTTCTTTTTTTGTTCCCTCTTCTTTGATGATCTCTGTACTTAGTCAGCTGATCTATGATGGATATGGAAACCTTCAACAATCAGCAGATGATCATCAACACCATGGACGATAGAGTTTTCGACGAATTATTCCAACCAAAACCTTCATTTCAAGAGGCTTTTACGTCATCTCCTTCTTATAACACGCATTCCGGCACCACACCAAATGATCATCATCATCAGCAGCAGCAGCTTATGAACACTAATTTTACTCCTCACAGCAATCATATTAATCATTATGTGATGATGAATATGGGTCAACCGCCAGAATTAGCAGACATGATGATGGGTCAAAAACTACAACCTACTCCGATGATTTCATCATCCTCATCTTCGTCCATATCTGTTTCTTCGTCTCCTCAAATCATTTCTTTTGGGAATCCAACATCATCAACCGACCCATCAAATTCTGATCATGATCACACCTTCTACTATGCATACAATTCAAAGGTACGCACTTCAATTTTATTGATTATTTTACTCGTCTATCTCAAAAATATAATCCAGTTTGAATTTTTAGTTTTAGTACAAATTGAACTATAAATGAAAATCTAAACTGGACAATAATTTTGAGATGGAGTAAGTTTGTTTTTTTGTTGCCTCTAAGGGAGTAAATTAACATTACGAGGAATTTAAAAAAAAAATTATAATTAGTGCGTGTTGGTAATAAGTACTACTTAACCGTCCTTCTAATCCTAAATATAAATAATGTTGATTAGAAAACTGTTGATTCGCCGGATAATTATCTAGCTAGCTACAATTGGAGCTGCAAGACAAGTCCGACGAGGAAGAATTCCCAGCAAGCTCAATGTCATGTGGAGGCCGAAAGAAAGCGCAGGGAAAAATTGAGTGCCCTCTTCGTTTCCCTTACTAAGGTCGTCCCAGGACTTAAAAAGGTACTTTTTTCGTCCCAAAAATTATTGTTTAGTTTGGATTTTTATTTTTAATATAAAACGAAATAAAAGTGAAAATGCAAACTATTTATGGGAGTACTATACATATAACTTAATTAATGGACAAATTACTTTGTACTCCCTCTGTCCCAAAATTATTGTCCAGTTTGAGATTTCAATTTTAGTACAATTTGAACAAAAAATAAAAATCCGAATCGGATAATAATTTTGAGATGGAGGGAGTACAATTCTGTTCTCTCTACAGTACTACATTTCATGATTAGTGAGATATCCAACATGAGCATATTAAAATACATGGCCTTACGTGCATTAATTAATTATTTCCATTACGATTATATTTGTACAACAGAGTTTATACACATTGTTAAATGACTATTGGTTTTATTAGCTGGACAAAATTTCCGTCCTGGAAGACGCAATAAAGCACATGATTGAGCTTCAAGAAAGATTAAAGGTGCTAGAGGAGGAAGTGAAGAAAAACACCAAAATAATTCTTGATGTTGATGCTGATGATGATGATCATGATGAAGATCACGATGTTCCTATAGCAGAAGAATTAAAAGGCATCCTCCCGACCGACATCAAGGTCAAAATGTTGGGCAAAAATGTGCTTGTAAAAATCTTGTGTGACAAGAGATATTATGGATGCATATTGAACCTCTCAAATGAGCTCCAAAACCTCCATCTCACCCTCCTAGACACCCGAGTTCTTCTCTTTGGAGGTTGCGCCATTGATATTACCTTTGCTGCTCAGGTACATATATATTTTAATTAAACTACGTACATACATTAAAATTTTATAATGCTTTATTTATTAATCATACTTCCAAATTGTACAACTTACTTAAGAGTGAAAGTTATTGTCAAGTTGGTTAATTAGCTTGATATATATAGCTACTAAGAAACATTAATATATTTTGGTAACTCAAATTTATTAAGTCCATTGAGCCGAAAGAGAATTGGAACAAAAGCACTATTTATTAAAAAAAAAAAGGCCATATGTATCGTTTATTAGAATAATATCAGTGGAGATAATAGTTTTAATTTTTGAAGGGTATGATCTACCCCGTATAGTGTGACAAGGGTTTGAATTGCCGTAAAAATTATGGAGATCCAACCTACCTCGTCAATATCATCATTTTTGAAGAAACATTAATGTGTGGAAGTATTAATATGCCTAAATGAATCAGACAAGTGACTAGTTTAAATTATGACGTCTTGTTGTTTACTTGCAGATGGAAAGCCATTTCTCTGCCACGGTAAGCGGCATCATCAAACATCTACAAAACGCTATGTTTCAAATCCGCAAATGACCACAAATCATCAGAGAGTAATAATTCTCAGCCTCCCCGTCTTTCTTGTATGTTGTGGATATACCCTTCAGTCCCAAAATTATTGTCCGGTTTGAATTTTCACTTATAGTATAATTTCTACTAAAATAATGAAATTTAAACGGACAATTATTTTAAGACGGAAAGAGCATGTCAAAAATATGTTTGGCTTCAACCCCTCTCGATCGATATTCATGTGACAGTGTATGTATTTCATAGATAATCAAATTAACTGTTTCTCTGGTACGCAACAACAATTCGTTTAGTGGGTTTTGTTTCCAATTAATAATCCGCAGGAGAGAGGGCGTTGTTGAGCTTTGACTGTACGTATCACTTTTGTTAGCTGCTTATACGCGCGACTATATTGTTATTATTACTACAAAGTTAGTTAATGAAAGTTTGAGCTTACTCTTAATTAATTGCCCTTGGTTTTTCAATTATGTAAGTATGATCCTTGTTTAAGTCAGATAATAATTCAGGCTTCCTCTGTATGTATATTGACGAAAAGAGGTTATTAATTTTGTGTTATCAGTTAACGTCAATTTAATTCGATCAAGCAGCAGAAGAATTAATTACATAAATAAAAATATTCCATCACACAGTATAAACTATGTTTATATGCACACATATTACTCATGATCTTTATATAATATATATTATTCCCCTTGAAGAAGAAGAAGTAGAATAAAAGTTAGAATACGGATGAAATAATAATTGTGAGTTACAATATTAAGCTTTTAGGCTTCACTATAATAAGAGGTAATCCACTAATGATTTCAAGCGTCACCAATCCAAAACTATAAACATCTGCTTTAGGTGTTAATGGCAGACCAAGCATGTATTCTGGTGACATGTACCCTCTGCAATTTATATATTGTAACATAATTATCTTAATCAAGATGATACACTATCGATTAAAGCATAACTTTTGAATGATTAAAAGAACAACTAATAATAATCATTTAATATGAGCCTTCCATTTGTACGTACACCAAATAAATTATATTGATCAAAATGGAACTATATATAGATTTGGTACTTACGTGTCGTTAGCTCTTGGCGTATTGTAAACATTATTTCCTTCCTCAGTGAGTTGGCCACGATCATGAAGTTCCGGGTACTGAAGTCCGATATTTTCACATTGAAATCTTTGTTAAAAAAAACTATGTTTGTGGGTTAATTTGATGTTGCTCTGAATAATATCCATTATTTGATTCCACATGAAGAAAAGCCAAACCCTTTGCCACCCCAAGAATAATCTTGAGTCCTCGTCCTCTAATTTAGTTTTGATCTAATATCGTCATCTGAACATGCACCGAAATAAAAAGAAGGGAAACATCGGAAAACCTCCATGGATTACAATAAAATAAGAAGAAGGAGAATAAAAAGTTAAATATCAAATGTGAAGGGATTTATAATTTGTACCAAACAGTGCATGTTGAAGAGAAAACACCCCCAGGGTATAACTCAACACCTTAATTAATCCAGGATCGACAATTGAGTTAGTGAAGGGATGGAATAAGCTTCTTAAATTTCAATATGCGATCCACTTAATTAGTAGAAGAAGACAATATATATTACTGAATACTTCTGGAAAAAAGACGGGTTTCGAAGGAGCTTTTGAAATTCAATACTAAAAAATAGTAATCCTGAAGATAGTCAGCTAGAACCTTGGGCACAAAGGGACTAATTTGAACAAACCACTTCCATTCAAGATCTGGACTCCATTTTAAGTTCTTGCATTGAAGGAGGTGGGTTTAGAATCAGATACTGATGATTAATCTGAATCAGAAGACATGAAGGAAACTACAAAGAGGATACCCTAGATTTCTCTTTGAATATGAATAATTCTGAATTTCTGATCTTTCATAAGACGATAACTCGATCGGAATGAAAGAAAGGCCCGCCTATGTATTCAAGAAGTGATGTCCCTGATAGTGAGCAGGAACAAAAAAAGCCAGAACGGCCGAGAGGATCCAAAAAGCTTCCTAATTTGTAGGATACCCAAACTCGTCGATCAACGAGACTCCAAGGTGCAGCCATTCCAAAATCTAATTGTCGCATAAACTGGAATGTGCGTGGAATATCCAATAAAGCAACAAAAAATAAGACTAAAAAATTTAATTGATATGCAATCTGTTTTTGGATTTTTTAGAGCCAATGGTAGAAAATGCTAGGATTGAGGAATTTATACGTTTTTTTTTTTCATTTTGACTTATCTCTTAGTCTAGCATGGAACCAAATTTGGTTTTTTGTGCTCTCCTCTTTTTGCTCCTATTTTGCTAGGTGGAACTGAGCAAGTCATGCACATTGCATTGAGCATGCCAAATCAACCGGATAAGATGGTGGTCTCAGCGGTTTATGCAAAGCCTACCAGGCAAGGAAGGAAAGAATTGTGGGATGAGTTGATAAAGTTTCAAAATCTGAAGGCTACTAAAGCTTAGATGATAGGTGGGGACTTTAACATTATACGATCATTGAAGGAATATGAAGAGAGCTCAGAGCTGGATCGATTGGCAATTGATGATTTTAATGAATTGATCATGGAATATAACCTTTTTGAACTTCAAACATTAGGATCGGATTATAGTCGTATATATCAATGGTAGAGTTTTAAAGAAGTTCGACAGAATACTATTCTTTCCGGAATGGCTCTCTATGGTTTCTAAATCTACCGTCTAACACTTGAACAGAACAATGTCTGATTAAAGTCCTTTCCCAATCAATTCAGCATGTGGACCTTGATTCCAAACCCCGTCCATTTAAATTTCAAAATATGTGGCTTCCGCGTCTTGAATTTGTTGATATTGTGCATACTGGTCGCAGGCAGCCTTCAGGAGTTTCGGGGAGCTCCAAAAAAGGGTTTTGGAGATGTTTTTCACAATGAGCGAGAAGCCGAAGAAGAGGTAAACAAGAAAGAGATTATTTTTAACACTATAGGAAAACATAATAAATGCGAAAATTTATTTTCAAGGATTTTTTTTCTTAAATAAAAAACTGATTAAGTGAAATTTAAGACAAATTAAAAAATCTTATAATAAAGATCCGAGGAAGCATTACATTTCTTCTCATGAAAAACAACATTGATAACTATAATCTAACGTTAGACCTAAAGAAACTTGATGAATGATGATCATCATGAACACTAAGTAGGAGGGTCCCAACTACATGCCACAAGTGATTTCATCTCCACAAGCTTTTCCACCACCATTCGGCGACCAACTGGAACTGTTGTCATCATCGTCGAGATACCAGGAATCCGGCAAGGCGGCAAAACTCGGAACAAATGGATGAAAACATCGGACGCAATCCCCCCACCCTTGCAACTCTCCCATTTTCCTCCATTACTACCCAAAACTTGGAACTGAAAAACATCTTTCAGCAAATCTCCACCTATAAATACCAATATCTTGCCGTCCCAAAATATCGGTTTTCCTCTCTTACAAGATAACCCAAAACTCTTGGGAATCGTACTCTTGATCTTCCATGATTACTTCTCATATTCGAACCCATATACCAGAATCTCTTCCTCTTTAGGGATCACATAAGCAAGATAACCTTCCGCAATCCCCAGCCAAGTTTCCAAACCTAAAGAATTATAAGTTGTTCCGAATATATTCCCATTCCCATGAGGTGACGACTGATGAGGAACATCGGGTTTCTGAATAATCGAAGGCTGTTCGGTAATTAAGTTGAACACCAACACATCTCCTTTTTCCATGAGCCAATGCATACGGTTATTAAGGTAAACCGGTTCGGAGAGTTTCTCCAACTTGTGCATTTCATTTCGATTATTCGGAGGATATAAGGCATGCCCGGAACGCCATCCCCGCCACCGGTTGTTTTCCGAGTCAAAAATCAGGAAATTTAGCGTCCCGCGGCGGTTGTGAACCGTGGCGGCCACCATCTTAATCGAAGAACGGTAGGATGAATAGTCATCAATGTCGACTAAACCTACTCCGGCCACCAACGTGGCAAGTTGAAGTTTCGGAAGGGATATGACACGATAAGCTCCGAGGATCGGGTTGAAAAAAATGTAGGAGGAATTGTGTGCATCTTCGAATTGAAACAAGAGTCGGCCACTCGACGAAGAAAATGTTGAAAAAAATGTAGGCCAATGCTAATAAATAAAAATTAATAAATAAATAAAATAAAATAATACTTGAGTCGTGCTAAAGAGCACTGCCCTTAAGAAATTATTCCAATGGTATTGAAATGTCTCCCCAGAATTAAACAAATCTTCCTCCAAATTACAGACGGGACAGGAACAGCTAAAATAATATTTATCCGACAAAAGAAATAAAACTTTTGATTTGAAAAACGATCGAAAATAGTGATAAAATAGCTAGAGTTTATTTCCTACTTTGCCAAAACCAGAAAATGAAGAAAGCAAAATGCTTTGTGGTGGTGAATGAAGAAAATGGCTTTAAAGCCTTGAACTGCCTAAAGAAACAAATAAAGCAAGAATGAGATTAAAGAAAAGAGAAAATGTCTTAGTGGTGCATCTTTCCACTCACATTTGGTCATCTATTTATAGTGCCAAAATTTGTAAATTTCTGCCCCTAAAAATCAGAAACGCATTCTTTCATTTTGATGAGATTAAATATTTTTAGTGGGTAGATTTTAGGAACCAACTACTTAAACCTTTTCTCTCTTTTGACTTAGTAGAATAAGACATGTGATAATCTCTTTAGTTCATTTTTTTTTCATCGTAGTAAAAAATTAATTTGACATTGCCAAATTTATTTTTAATCATATTCATCACAAATTCACAAAAATCTTTTGAAATATTGTTGAAAAATTCAGCAATCGCCCACATATTTCAAAAGATTTAAAACGTAATAACAAAGAAAAATTTTGCTGAATATGTTTGGGTGCAGTGCAATCAGTCTGGTGTCTTTTGGACTATGAACCAAACTTAGATTGATAAAACATGACTTAAAGAATAATTGGTGAAATTAAAATTTCTATGAACCAAGTATTCTATTTGTAGGACGGAGGTTTTATTAACCACAATGCAAACTCATATTTTGTTGTTCACGCAGTTTTGCGCCAATAGGCCATGCGCGCGCCTGGTTATTCGTGAGAGCTATAAAGATCCGTACCATAAGATCTTATAGGAGCGGCCCCACTCCACTCTCATATAGGTGAATACATCAAGTGTACACTGCTTTAGATACACCACTTATAAGAGATATGAATTCATGAAGAGTTTAACTCTACCTCACAATAGATAGCAGTTTAATCACCCGTTACAATCGAGTTTTAACTCAAAGTGCTTCAGTGTCAATATTGACTTGTTATTACCCATATGAACCTAATTCATGGGATCTCCAATCACATAGGTTGGGTTACCATCTCCATTGACAGTCAGTTGGTCTAAGTCCCATCTCCTTTGAAGTTTGAAGAATTAATTTTCTTCCCAAAGGTTTAGTCAGAGGATCGGCCAAATTTATTTTTGACTTCACATAATCAATGGAAATAATTCCATCCTTCAACAGTTGTTTTATGACATCATGTCTCAATTTCATGTGTCGATTTCTACTATTATAAGATTTCTTTTTAGCAGTATTAATTGCAGCTTCACAATCACAATGCATAGAGACAGGAGACATGGTATCCTTATATAAAGGAATACCCGCTAGGAGATTTCTCAGCCAATCAGCCTCAGAACCAGCTAGCTCAAGAGCTACAAACTCTGATTCCATAGTTGATTTAGCATAAATCGTCTATCTCAATGATTTCCATGCTATAGCACCACCACCGAGGGTGAACACAAAACCACTAGTAGATTTTGTCTCATCTGAATCAGAGATCTAGTTAGCATCACTATACCCTTCTAATGCAGTGGGAAATCCACTATATAGGATACCATAGTTCATGGTTCCTCTCAGGTATTTCATTTGTCTAACAATTGCAAACCAATGCTCATGATTGGGATTATGAGTATATCTATTCAGTCTACACACAACATATGCTATATCAGGCCGTGTAAAATTCATCAAATGCATCAGACTCCCAATAATCTAAGCATATTTAGACTGAGCAACTGGGTTACCACGATGTTTTTTCAATTGAGTGTTAGCGTCATAAGGAGTGCTCACTGGTGTCACATCAAAGTTTTCATACTTCTTAAGAAGTCTCTCAACATAATGTTCCTGTGACAACATTATACCATCACTTCTCCTTATAACTTTAACACCCAATATCATTTTTGCTTCACCCAGATCTTTCATATCAAAATTAGATGATAAAAAATGTTTAGTACTATCTATAACATGTAAACTAGTACCAAATATAAACATATCATCAACATATAAGCATAGAATCACATATTCACTATTGATGCTTTTTGTATAGACACATTTGTCCACTTCAACAGAGGAGAATCCATCTCCTCTCAAGACTTGATCAAATTTCTCATGCCATTGTTTTGGAGCTTGTTTAAGACCATAAAGAGATTAAACTAATTTACAAACTTTATTTTCTTTTCCAAAAACAACACATCCTTCAGGTTGAACCATATAAATTTCTTCTTCTAAGTCATCATTTAAAAATGTTGTTTTTACATCCATTTTATGTATAAGAATTTTATGAATAGAAGCTAAAGCAAATAGTACTCGAATAGAAGAAATTTTAGTTACAGGCGCAAATGTATCAAAATAATCAATATTTTGTTTTTGTAAAAAACCTTTTGCAACTAGACGAGTTTTATATTTATCAATAGATCCATTAGGATTAAATTTTCTTTTAAAAATCTATTTGCAACTGATTGGTTTTGCACCAGGTGGTAAATCTACCAAAATCCAAGTTTTATTTTTCACAATGGAATTAATTTCACTTTGAATAGCTTCTTGCCATAACTTTGCATCAGAAGAGTTTATTGCTTCATTATAATTTGAAGGTTCATTATCAACTAGAAAAGTTTGAAAATCGTTTCCAAAAGAAAAGAGTTTTCTTTGCCTTTTGCTCCTTCTAAATTCCTCTTCAACAGGAATTTCTTTATCACATTCAATAGGGGCATGAGAATTTTTATTTGACAGTGGATAAATATGTTCAAATAACTCAGCATTCTTTGTTTCGATAATAGTATTACAATCAAGCACATCACTTTTCAAAACAAGAAATCTATATGCAGCGCTATGTTCAGTATATCCAATAAGCATACAATCAGAAGTTCTACTACCAATTTTCCTTTTCTTAGGGTCTGGTAGTAGTACTTTAGCAAGGCCCCCCTACACTTTTAAATAATTCAAATTAGGTTTATAACCTTTCCACAATTCATAAGGTGTTTTGCATGTCTTTTTATGAGGAACTCTATTTTGTAAGTGACATGCGGATAGTATAGCCTCACCCCATAAATTATCAGTCGCTTGAGAGCTTTAACATAGAGTACATCATTTTTTTTAGTGTTCTATTTTTCCTTTCACCTACCCCATTTGATTCAGGTGAATAACAAGGCGTTATTTCATGAATTATGCCTTCTTTTTCACAAAGTTCATTTAAGACAAAATATTCACCCCCTCTATCAGACCTAACTCTTTTTATTTTTCTATTAAGCTGATTTTCTACTTCAGTTTTAAAAAGTATAAATGCATTATAAGCATCATCTTTATTTCGAAGTAAATAAAGTAGAGTATACCTAGAATAGTCATCTATAAAAGTGACATAATATCTTTTACCTCCTCTAGTCATAGATTGTTTTAAATCCCCTAAGTCTGTATGAATTAGACTTAATAATTCAGTTTCTCGAGTAACACTTCTACAAGTTTTCTTAATGCTTTTAGTTTCAACACATATTTCACATTTATCCGTATTAGTAAAATTAATACCAGAAATTAAGCCAAGTGATTGCATTTTCTTTATGTAACCAATATTAATGTGTCCTAATCAAGCATAACATAAAGAAATAGAATCAACAATATAAACAGAACTAGATGCATTTTCATTGATCACATTGGAAATGTTGAGGACAAAGAGTCCTTGGTTACAATAGCCTTTCTCCACGAACACATTATTCTTGGTCATAATAATCTTTTCAGATTCAAATGACACTTTTATCCCAACTTTCCCCAATAAGGCAATAGAAACCAAATTTGCTCTAATGTTTGGAACATGCAGCACAATGTTAAGGGTTAAAGTTTTTTCCTAAAGTGAGCTTCAGGACAACCTTCCCTTTACCAAAAATCTTTGTAGGCCATGAGTCTCCCAAGTAGACAGTCTCTTCATCATCTCCCTACAGGAGTATAGGACGAAAATGCTTCCCGATTTGCACAAATGTGCCGAGTAGCCCTAGAGTCTACAACCCACTCTTTGACATTAGCAGCAATGTTCACTTGAGAAATAACGGCAGCAATTATTTCATCTCCTTCGACTATATTAGCCTTAGGAGGATTTACTTTGGCATCGTTATTCCTCTTTCTCTGCCTACACTCAGCAACATGATGATTTGGCTTTCCACAAACAAAACAATTGCCTTTCTTCTTAAAAGAGGGATTATTAGGCTTGTAATTTTTGGACTTGTTATCGTACCTCTTGTTGTTGCTTTGCACCAAGTTTGCTTTGAGCACCATCTCCTTAGCTTTGGCAGTCTTTGACTCCTTTCTGTTAGTATCTTCGATCGAGATGTGTGTCACCAATTCCTCGACTGTAAAGATCTTCTGCTTGTGCTTCAGGTTGTTCTTGTACTCACTCCACGAATCTGGAAGTTTTTCGATCAGGACTCCAGCAGCAAACTTTTCAGGCAGCACAATGTCTTTAGCCTTCAAATCTTCGAGCAGCTTCTGATATTCGTTGACTTGAATCTTCATCTCCTTCTCTTCAACCATCTGCCATTGGTAAAATTTTCCAACGATAAACTTTTGCTTGTAGCATCTTCAGCGGTGAACTTTTTGATCAATGAGTCCTAGATAGCTAGCTTTGGCTACTTTGTAGCTACAGTATACTTCAAATAGCTCATTAGAAAGAGTTTGCAAAATGGTGTGAGAACATACCTTATTGGCATGTTCCCACGATTCTTGAATCTTGCTATCAACAGTTGAGTTGGGCTGGGCATCAGTCAAAGCATAAGCAACTCCATGGATGTCGAGCAAGGAAAAGACACGTTCTTGCCAACGTTTGAAATTTTCATTGGCAAAAACTTCAATCTTCAAAACATCAGGAAAAGGTTTGGCGTATGTTAAGCCGACAGGGACCAAGGGTGGAGCTGGTACACCAAGGGACTGCATAGCATCAACATTGATAATTCCATCAACAATGGTAGCATTAGCTTGGCCGGAATTCATAGTTTCTTAAGATTGTTGGAAAAAATGTAGGCCAATGCTAATAAATAAAAATTAATAAACAAAATAAAATAAAATAATACTTGAGTCGTGCTAAAGAGCACTGTCCTTAAGAAACTATTCCAATGGTATTGAAATGTCTCCCCAGGATTAAACAAGTCTTCCTCCAAATTATAGAGGGGACAGGAACAGCTAAAATAATATTTATCCAGCAAAAGAAATAAAACTTTTGATTTGAAGACGATCGAAAATAGTGATAAAATAGCTAGAGTTTATTTCCCAGTTTGCCAAAACCAGAAAACGAAGAAAGCAACACTACAAGAAAATGGGTCTTTAGTCAGAAGTTGCAGTTGTGACTAAAGCCCAAAAAGTTGTCAATAAAGAGGTTTAATGATGACATTTTTGTTGTCGAAGAGTCGTCCCTAAAGGCCTGTCATTAAAGAGTTCTTTATTGACAACCTTACTGAGTCGTCAATGTAGAAGCCAATAACAACAACACGTAAGTCATCACCATAGTGACAACTTTATCTTGTCATTCAACTGTAAGTCGTCACTATTTTGGCGACCTAAATTTCGTTGCTGTTATGATGACTTAAATTTATCACTGTTATGACAACTTAATTTTGTTAGTGTTATGACGACTTAAATTTATCACTATTATGACAAGCTATGACAACCCAAATGTTACTAATGTGACAATTTGGTTGTTGTCGATCTAATAACAACTCAGAATCGTTATAAAAGGCTAATATAGTGATAAGCAAACTTTAACATCATTTTGTAGTAATTTTCGGCAACCAATTAAAATGTAAAATACTAAATGGTAATCAATTTAAAATGACATCTAAAAGTTATAATCGTAAACATATTTATATAACAAAAATCCGCCACGCGACGGGACGGTGTACATAACAACTATGCCCAAATGTCTAGGCATTATAACTATACCAAAAGCCCACAAAGTAGTGTAGTGTGCATGCTACAACTATACCGAAAAACCACAAAATAACACAACTACATACATGCAAGAAAGATCGCTATTTTCCACGTCTCCAAGTCACAAGAATGAAGCAAGTCTTCATTATAATCCTGCAAATCCACGATAAAACAGACAAAAGGAGAAATCTTGATAAGATTTCAAATTAACTAATGAGTAGTGATATAATAATAATAACAATAACATTTTTGTCACACTCACCTCCAAAAGACAGAGTGTCATTCATAGACAACCAACCTACAAGATTCAAACATCAATGAGAACTCAATTTCCCTACCTCTTAAGCCATATTGAAAACTCAAAGGTAAGAGATATACCATACTCAAAAGGATAAGTTAATATCGTCACCAATATCAAAAGAAAACTATATGAACATCAACAACAATACAAAGTCGCTACAAGTATTACTAATCTAGAGGATAAAAATAATTTAGTATCACATAAAAGTTTCTTATTATAAAGATCAGCTCAACAAATAATTTCTTTACAAATATTCAGCATATAGACCCCGTAAACTACTAAGGTCATAAAGGTGCAGTGTGGATCCGACGTTAAGAAATTTCTTTTGCTGAAACAGAATGCTTGAGTTTTGTGCTCTAAAAAGCTAAAGCTAATCTGCCATTTTCCACATTATTTGAGTCAAACTTAGGGACAATAATAACATGCTAAAAATGAAAAATTTCACCTCAATTAACACTGATTCATCACTTAAGTTCATTGTAAACACTTGGCCACTCAAAACTAACATCATTTCCAGCAGTGAAATTGAAATCACCAACCACTATATAAGAATGTTACAATTACTTAAGAACAGAGACACACTAGGATCAACTAAAACCTAAAGAATAAATCCAAAAACTAACAGATTAATAATTTAATCTCATAAAGCAACCAAAAGAGACAAAGCTCAGCTCAAAGAAAAAACACTAAGACTTTTGAAAAATATAGCTGAACAGAATAACATGATGGAAAATTCAGAAATTAAAGTCACCTTGCTCTAAGTAAAAATGTCAAAAAAAGGAGATAGCAGAATGAAACACAATGACAAAGCAAATAAAAAGTAACCCTTAGCTTATTAATATCATCACCAACATCCAAAGAAAACTATATGAACATCAACCACCATACAAAGTCACTACAAGTATAATTAATCTAGAGGATAAAAATAATTTAGTAGTAAGATCACAAAGGTCAGCTCAACAAATAATTTCTTAAAAAAAATTCAGCATATAGACCCCATAAACTACTAAGATCACGAAGGTGCAGTGTGGATCCAACATTAAGAAATTTCTTTTGCTGAAACATCATGCTCGATTTTTGTGCTCTGTTAGAGTTTTGTGCTCTGAAAAGCTGAAGCTAATCTGCCATTTTCCACATTATTTGAATCAAAGCGGCTTAGGGACAAGACAAACACGTAATAGTACTAAAAATGTAGAATTTGACCTCAATGTATCAACCAAAAGACACAAATCTCAGCTAAAAAAACTACAACAAACAGCAATAAATCTTTCAAGAGAAAACTAAACAGAATATCATGCTGGAAAATTCAAAAATTAGAGCCACCTTGATCTAAGAAAAAAGAACAAAAAAAGGAGAGAGAAGAATGAAACAGAATGACTAATTCAACAAAAAGTAACCCTTAGCTTATAACAGCTTTAAAACTACATGAAATGATAAATATAAACATACTCAAATCTCAATTTATGAGAATGGGAATTAAATGATGAAAACTTACATTTTTACGCATTATGTTGAGCTTCCATGCGATTAACCCTCTCTAGTAAGACGGCCAAAGACTCTTTGAGCACTTCATTTTCAGCTACCAATGTTTTTTTCCAGTGTTTCTTGTTCCACTGCCATCTTTTCTAACTTTGCATCTGTTTCTTTCCTTTCTTTTTCTGCCACATCAGCTCTTTCCTTTTCACGACGAACTTCTTCAACATAATAACTTTTGGTTAAGGCACGTCCAGCACTTCTAGGTAGTTTCCCAACTGTTGCAATGCAAATCTCTTTAGGTTCATAACTGGCACTTTCCAAGTCTCTCATTTGACCCTAACATAAAAAAACATAGCGTTAAATTGAATAAAAAATAGAAAAAAAAATCTATAAAGTCAATAATCATTGCACATTAGTTACCAAAGTTGTTTTTGATGTTTCCCCAGGCATAGTTCCTGTCTTCCTTAAGGTTCGACTATATTCAAATAAGTCAAAGGGAGTTCTTTTTTCATTCCGAATCCTTTCCTGTTACAGTTATCAAGAATGTCAAAGAAAAATACATTTATTTTATGACTACAATCAAGAGTGAAACAAATAATTGAGCGCTACCAGCTGCTCAGCGAACCTTGCAAGAGAAAGGGTTCCCGTAAAGTTTGGCTCTTTGTTTTTGGCTCGGTTCTCTATGTTGCGCTTACTCATTGCCTAGTTCAGTTCAAATGATAACCATAATTTAACTATTAGACATAATGATAAATTACAAATTATCACTTAATCCACAAAAGTATCATATCTAACCTTGAATTTTTCAGAAGTGAAATAATTGCAGAGATATATCCACTCTTCCTTGGGCAACTCATCAGGTACTTGTCTTAATGCTTCCTCCTTTGATTTAAATGTTTTGAAGAGCCGACTATGCTTATGTCGGCAATTTCTATATGATTTATTGACTTGCTGTTCAACAGCTTTCTTCATCTTTGCGTCCACAACATCATTAGGAAACTTAGCCTACAAAATGTGTTAATAAGTGCTAGTTGAGTTGACTGGGGTACATGTTTAAAAACCAACCTTATTACTTACCATAACCCTTTGGCACATGGCTTCTCGGTCTTCCTTTTCTAGCTGAGACCATTTTGGAACATTGTGCTTCCCAAACTTGCAAGCAATAGCACTAGATTCATTGATGAATGATTGTGATTCAGGACCTACAACACGTTTGTAACAATCATCGAGTTTAACTTTGTGTGGAGCATCATCATCATTTTTACGCCCACTAAGGTTTCTGGTTGGTCCTCTTTTAACAAATGTAGATGATTTTGCTGCATTAAGCATTACAAGGAGCCAATGAGCTGAAGATATGATGAATGATTACTTGTAAAATTTTAATGATGTAATCTCAAAACCATAAAGATGTATAGGCATGAAAAGAAACAAAGTAGAAAACTGAAATCAATTAATTACTAACCTGAACAAGCAGACATGGGAGTCAAGGGAATACCTGAAAAAAATGATTCCAAAAAATTAGTACTTACCTCTCAAAAAAATTATAAATTAAAAGATAAAGGTGGAATCATTGACATTCTAACCTGAATCGCCTGCCAAATGTGTCTCTGAATAATAAGAATCAAAGATACACTTATTAGACAAAGGAGTCTCTAAACAAAAGAAGCAAAGGTAAACATAAAAGAGTTAAGAACTTGAAAATCACATTCATCATTTTCATCTCTTAAGTGAAAAGGTGAAACACTTGTTGAAACATTATGCTTAGTGGTTGAAGTAGACATTCCTTGAGCTGATTTCTGACCTTGGGATGATACGGAATCTCTAAGCCCGAGAGACTCAAGTCTTCTTTTCTTCACTAAAGGTTTTCTTCCCTTGCCAGGACCTGTCATCTAATAACCAAATTTAAAAGGGATTAGTTTATTAAAATCGAAAAGAAATGTTAAGTTAGCATAGCAAAGCATTTAACCATTTATTCTAAAGAGCAAAACATATATATCACATATAGTTCAAATTGTTTAGACCAAACACAATTAAACACTTAGTTCCATACAATTTATTACAACAAAATTATAAATTAGCTGGGACTTAGTCCTAACTATCATCATCAACATAATCATCATCATCCGTCCACAGCCCTTCATTTTCAACAAAACCATTAGCTAGAGCTTCATCACCACAATCAACGTCACAATCTTCATCATCAATAAATTCATCATCGTAGTCATTTTCAATACAAGTCTCTGCAGTGGTAGTATTCACAATTGTGGCATCAATGTTGTTAAGTGATGGTACATCCCTAACAAGTTGTGGAATCTCTCCAAGGTTCACACATAAAACAAATCCCGGTTCTTCTTCTTGGATAATCTCATCAACCGGTCCTTGTTCGGATTCAAGAACTTCATAAGAGCTACGAGGATTAGCTTTTTGAACCACACACCAATCTTTGCCTAACTTCATGTCATCTAAAAAAAACACTTGTTCAGCTTGTTGAGCAAACACATATGGCTGCTCTGAATACCATGTGTGGGAAACATTTACACTAATAACTCCCGACTCTTCATCTACTTGCATGCCACGAGCATCACCCAAATTAAACCACTCACATTTAAATAGCAACACCTTTTTTCTTCCTAAATAATACTCCACTTGAATGACATCTAGTAAGACACCATAGAAGTCAATAGTATTATTTCCATGTTCCCCTTTAACTACAACACCACTGTTTTGTGTCTTCCGATAACGTTCACGACTCTTTGTGTGAAACCTAAAACCATTAATCAAGCACCCACTATATCTTCTAATGTGACTATCCAGGCCCAATGCCAATGATCTGATTTCTCTTCTCATGGGTGAAGAAGATTTAAGAACCTGTCAACCGCCAACCAATGTTAAAAATGTTATAATTTTGAATATATCTTAAGAATCACATATAGTACACAAAATGGTGAAAACCAGCTTACTTGTTGTCGAAACCATGCTGGAAACTCTCTTTCATGACGCTGATCTATGTTAGCACTACATTCTGCCTCAAGTTTCGGCTTTTGGTTTCTACAAAATAGCGTAACCAAATCGATTAGTAGAAATTTTCGCAGCAAATAAATCAAGTAAAATAACTCTATCTTTTCAAATTATGAACTGGAACATTACCTGATGTGTTCTTCAATCTCTTCATCATCAGTGTTATTAAGAACAAATATATGAACTTTATTCAGCTCCAAATCACTTATATCGTCATGCTTTGGTCCGCCAAATGGCCTCCCCTTTGAAGAAAACACATACAATTCACCACTCGCATCCTCCATTTCATTATTACGCTCTTTTTGAATACAATCAATATCTTCCATATAAATGGAGCAGAAACTCAAGCACTCATTATCAATATATCTCTCAGCAATACAACCTTCTGGCCGAGCTTTGTTACCTAATAACTCTTTAATGTGCCCATTTTCCTACAAGAAAATATATTATTCTATGTACTAACATACATATTTCAAAAAAATAGGAAAACAAGGGAATCAAAGGTTCTTTTAAAAAAACAAAGTACTTATCTCTCAAAAGGAAACATCCAGCGATATTGTGGTGGCCCTGCAATCTTAGCTTCTGTAGGTAGATGAACCAACAAGGCGTCTTAGCTTCTGTAGGTAGATGAACCAACAAGTCACCATGATATCAAAAAAGGAAGGCGGGAAAATTCGTTCCAACTTACAAATTGTAACTGCAATATTTCTTTCCTGCTCCTCCAAGAGATCTACATATTGTGTTCTGCAACATCACTTCTTAAAGAAATTACTCAACTCAATCAATACTTGGCGAACCTCTTTCTTCAAGCAATCTCGTATTGCAAGTGGCAGTAAACGTTGCATGAGTATGTGAAAATCATGGCTCTTCATTCCTGACATTTGAAACTCTCCATTTTTCACACACCTAGATATGTTTGAAGCAAACCCATCTGGATACTTGATTGAAGCCAAAAAATTGCAAACCTTTTCTGTCTCATCTTTAGTCAAACTAAAACAAGCTTTTGGCATCAAGAAACTGTCCCCTTTTGGAATTAAGTGCAGCTCCTTTTTCAAACCCAATTCCTTCAGATCTTTCCTGACATTCCAACTATCTTTGGTTTTCCCCTTAATCCCCATGATTGTTCCAAACATGGCTTTAATAACATTTTTTACGACATGCATAATATCTATATTGTGTCTTAATTTAAATCTGCCCAGTAAGGTAGATCAAAGAAAATGCTCTTCTTTGTCCAATTGCAACCATATTCTTCGCGCTTACGTTTCCTATTGGAGGTGTTCTTCTTGGTCTTACCAAAAAAGAATGCAATATCTTGATATGGTTCCAATTGCTGCATAATCCGTCTTCCTGTGATGGGTACAATAGGTTCTCTATGATCAACTTTGCCATTGAAAGCTTTTTTCTCATTTCTCCAGCGGTGATCTATTGGTAAAAATCTACGATGCCCTGTGTAACTCAATTTCCAAGTATACCGCAAATGCTCACAAGATGTATCAGACGTAGACAAAGGACATGCAAAGTAGCCTTTAGTGCTATAACCAGATAACATAGCATAAGCAGGAAAGTCATTAATTGACCAAATAACACCAGCATGCAATGTAAATCTCTCACTCTTGTATGTATCATATGCATCTACACCACTCCACAAAAGCTTCAAGTCATCAATAAGTGGTTGTAAATAGACATCAATGTCATTACCGGGAGATTTCGGTCCAGGGATTAGCAATGACATTATAATGAATGGGTCCTTCATGCATTTCCAAGGTGGTAGATTATAAGGAACAACAAAGACAAGCCATATACTATATGCACTACTTAAGTTCCCGAAAGGGTTAAATCCATCGGTTGCAAGTCCCAATCTAATATTGCGAGGATCTTGTGCAAATGACACATGAGTTTTGTCTAAATGTTCCATGCCTCACAATCAGCTGGATGACTCATGACATTAGAAGAATTAGTATCACGTTTTTCCTTATACCACCTCATGTCATAAGCTATATCCTTGTTTACATATAGCTTTTGCAGTCTAGGGATTATGGGGAAATAACGTAATACCTTACGAGGAACTTTGGAACTACTAGACATATAACGAGGCTCATTACAATTCGTATTTGGACAAATGCTTAAATCCTTGTATTCTTTCCTATATAAAACACAATCATTAACACAAGCATGGATTTTTTCATACTTAAAACCCAAATCTCAGATAATACCTTTAGCCTCATAGAATGATTTTGGGATTAAAGCTTCAGATGAAAGCACATCCCTAAATACTCCCAGTACAGCATCAAAGGATTTTATGGTCCAACCACTTGTAGTCTTTAAATGCAACAAAGACACAATAAAAGATAGTTTAGAAAATTTGACACAACCTAGGTAAAGATTTTCCCTTACTTCTTCCAACATTTTGTGAAATTTATCAACCTCACCATCTTTTTCAAATGGAACCTGTTGACCTCTTTCTTCCCCTCTTTGCCAATTCTCACCAAAATTAGCATTTCCTACGTCATTTAACATCCTGTTCAAATCACTTTCATCATCTTGTTCCATGTCATGAGATATATCATCTTCATTCCAATCATTTGCAAATGTCTCTCCATGAAAATTCCACGTAGTATAGTCTCTACGAAATCCATATTTAATTAAGTGCGACATCACATGGTTCTTAGGAAAATCCCGGTAGTTGCTGCAGTCGTTGCAAGGGCATGGGATTTTTTCATTTGGCTCTAAGCCACTATAGGCAAAACCTAAAAAATTTTGCACTCCCAATAGATATGCTTCATCTGTTCTATTTCTTATTTTCATCCAACTCCTATCCATGGCCTATAATAGTATTAACATGAATAGCACAATTAGTTACCTTGTACGAAATATCAAATACAAATTCCTGCAGTTTGAACACTTGTAAAATTCAAAGATATTTGTCAACAGTATGCGATTACTCAATATATTATCAATATATCATATAACATTATAAGTTAATTAATACTATATTACTGTTCAGTTCATTACAAAGGTAGAAATATATATATCGGAAACTTGATTATCAAACTATAAAGCACAATCTCATACTCTGAAACAAGCATCTTACATTAAAAAAAAAAAGTCTTTAATCACAAACTGAGGAAATCCTTCAACAAGTAAAGCTAGAAACCATCCAAATCGACATGAATTCCAATTTGAGAAACACCCAAAGAGACATTACTACTTAGGGGCATTCAAGACGTAACTAAAAGTCACTAGTTGTATGGTCATTATGCTTCTGCCTGTGGGAAAGAACACACAATGAGGACATTTTAAAGTATGCACACCAAGGGATTCATAAGCATTTAACAAATAATCGATGGTCAGAAGAGGCACGAACCTTAATAGAAATATCTCACTTGTGCTTTTTCCCCTGATAAGGTGGAAGGATAAGAATGCAGGCAAAGTTCTAGTACTCCTTAGAATGCTTTTTCCTGCATAGAGTCAATATATAAGTGCCTTAAATATCTAATCATTGGAAAGATTATCTCATGTAACATGAAAATAATGCATAAGAAAAGTTTTTTTTTTTTAAATCGGTTCGAATCCAGACTTTACAATTTGACATCATTTTACATTACTCCAGCAGACATCCGGCAACCATGAAAAAAGAGATTCTATGGATACATACTCCAGTAGACTAATGAAAAATATGTATAAGAACCTCTGTCCAAAACTCCATATAGACTCCACTTTGAAGATTACAGAAAGAAACAAGTGGTGGCATGATCATATGAAGCAATAAAGTGAAAAGCAACAAGTTCAGCGGTACAAGGATTTAGCATTGAACTCAACAAGGATAAATATAGCATTTCCTCTGCCTATGGTTGAGATTAAAGCTTAAATAGGTTGGTTCAATGGCACACCAAAAACCTGAATAATCGAGTATATATAAACTAAAAGAGACCAATAAGCTACATAACTTCCTTTACCTTACTTCTGGAAGTCCACTAGAAATGAGAACAGACAACATCAAGATAAGAAATGTCTAGCCTTAAACTTAAAGATCCAATCTTTTTGTGCATATATCACATAAGATGAAACAAGGAACTGGGTGATAACTGCACAAATGCTAATTCACCAAGTGTAGATATAACTAATTCAACAAGGATACACAAAAGAAACTTGAAAATCGCAGAAATTTTTCAAACCATTTACACATTACATTCAAATTATAAATAATTTTGAAACTGCAGAAAAAAAAAATTGATTTGAAAAGATCTAATTGAAGCAAAACCAGATCACCCCAAAAAGAACAGAGTCATCGATGAGAAACAGAAAAAAAATATCCGGAAATCACAAAAGAGCATTACAGTAAATCTGAACTTCAATATACAAAGATTTACTAGGAACACCCAAAAATAATAATTTCCATTTGAAGATAGCTATTATTCCTCTTTTCCGGATAAAAAACT